CCCCCAGGTCCAGGACATGCACCCACCCCCTATTGGAGGCAGCACAAACCCGAACCCAGGAAGTAGACCCAATCATTCTGAGGTGGAGAGGAGCAGATAGCCAAGGCCCGGCCGGGGCGCACCAGGACGCCCGGCCAGCCCCCTGCAGCAGAGAAGCCGCACCCATGACCACCCCATCACACCTCCAACGACCAAGTGCACCCCCCCAGCCGTCCACCCCACGGAACCCTATAATCTGTACATGACTGATATTAGCAAGTTAGCTTATATTTGCAAGTTAATGTACATTTGAAAGTTGTTAAATTTTAAATTGGAACAAACATAGTCTGGATAAATGTGTTGCATCAAAATGCAAATGATAAACATGACATATTACATTAATTAAAACAGACACTTCCACAACATTTCCAATTAGAAGCAAAATGATTTTTTAATTCTCTCTAAAATTCGCAAATTATTGCTTTTTAGATGGTGTCTTCTCATTTTCTCAGATGTATACTCCATGTAACTTTTTGTACTCTGAGTTATGTTTTTAATTAACAACTTCCTAAAAATAAATAAATCATAATTTCACAGACTGAAGACAACCGACGCTGCTTCTAGAGATTCCAACATCCTTACTCATAACGGAAAACGTGTTAGATTTTTGCRATTAATTTCTGGATTCATCCACGTAGCCTCCAGCTGTGTTTTTATTTTTATGTGCTGTAGTCATGATTCGATCATGAGTTTTCCTACGGACWTGAACGCATCTCTGCTCCTCCCCCCCTGCAGTTCGCTGACTTCCGCTGTGTTCAGCCAATCAGCTCGCGCTGTCTTTCAGCACCATTGCAGTGTGGGGAGATCATTTGAAGCGAAGAACTCGACCCGTGTGACCGCCCTGGGCAAACACCTTTCTCTGCTTTCCTGTTATTCATTGTGCTACGACTCCCGCTCCCCATCTTCAGCCCAAGTGAGTACTTTATTTCACTGTTGACGACTAAACAAAACAGCGCGTTAGGTATTTTGCAGTCACCTAAGAGACACCAGCAGCCCCTGTTGTGGATGTTTCAGCGTCAGGTCGTGTCAGAACAAGCGGTGCCTGTCTGCAGTTAGGGACCACACACACAGCAGATGCTCCGGCGCTGGAGCCCGCCTGGCTGCCAGCAGTCACACAGCCGCCCTCGGCCTGGTCACGACTGGTGAGAAGCGAAGATGTTCACCAGCTGCTGACAAGAAGAGGCATGCCAGCGGAATGCAAGCCGAGCTAAGGCAGCTAACATTGGCGTACAGGTTCGGGCTTCATTCACCCAAGCTAACAGTTAACTAACTAGCTAACAGAGCTGCGTAACCGTGTTTGTTAGCTTCAGTGTTTTGGGAGAAACATGTTTTGATGTTATACTTATTATTGCTGTACACCACACCGTTCATTATAAATGTTTAGTAAACCGTGGCTTAAGACGAGCTTCAGAAGCTAACGAGTTAAAATCTGGTTTTGAAAAAAATAAATTGAGAAGAAGTTAGGGGGGAAACGATGTTTACATATGATCCGATATCTTAAAGAAATGAGCAAATACGATTTTTGCAGGCAGGTAACCTGAAATGCACTGAGCGATTTGCATTTATTAATAGGCCCGCATAAACAAAATATAGTTTGCATATTTAAAAACATTCACAAGCTACTGTACTGTAGCTGCACTGAGATGAATGCAAACATTAAGTAGTCTATGTCCTGTTAAAGCATTAGTTCAACAATTATCAAATTTCATCTTCTGGAGTTTGCACAATGCTGTCATCTAAAATTTGATTTGCATTATCAATACAAATGTAAACAACAAGCAAAAATTGCACTGTGAACATTGTATGGTCTCTAGGGCTGCCACAAACGATTATTTTAATAATCGATTAAATACCGATTATTTATTCGATTAGTCGACTAATCGGATCATACGTTAATTGAATATAAAACATACAGCTTATCACGTCAGAATGCAGCTGCTATTATATAACCATGGTTAGATTTTAGCTATATGCTAACCAAAAAATAATTGCTGTGGAAGGCAAGTTCTGCTCTGCAGATATTGCACAGGTTTCTCTTTCCTTTTCTTAAAATGGTCCCACACTTTTGAGCTCTGTTGTCAGGTAGCCATGATACCAGAGCCTGTCTGTATAATGTCTTGTGACGTCCACGACCTACCCCAGTTACCACTACTGTGCATGTGTGTCAARGACAGAAAGGCAGATGTGGCAGTGGAAGGTGTCAAAGCAGTTCGGAGAGAAAAACAAAGTAAAGAACAACAAAAAAAGAAAACGATTAATCGATTATTAAATTAGTCATCGATAATTTTAATAATCGATTAGTCGTCGATTAATTGATTAATCKTGGCAGCCCTAATGGTCTCTTATAGTTTTATAGCAATATAGTGGCCACTGGTAACTTCCTTGAATCGATTGGTTTCCTTATCATTTATAACAAACTTGGTGGTTACTGCTGCATTTCTCAGTTGATTAATACATTTACATTTGATCTGAATATAAACAGTTGCTTGTGTTGTATTTGTGCAGTTTGTACAGTGTTTTTGTATCAGACTGTGAAATTAGTTTAATTTCCACCTTTACCAGTCTCACTTTTCCTGCAGATTTGATATGATATGATGCTTTGAACCTCTGTCTTCTTGTAGACAAACCACTTTCATAATATAGAAGTAGGTCCTTTTTTTCTGTTGTATCATTGATATTTCTAGATGATGCAAAAGTTACAAACAATACCATCCACAATAACACTATTATGTATGTTATGGTATGGCGCAGCCCTAGTGGAAGTCTGCACTTCTATTCATTAGATAGCATTTGCACAACATTGATCTCTATTCAAAACAAAGAAAAATAAATGTCTTTTTTTCCCCCTAGGGTTACATTACTTGTCTAAGTTGCTTCTTGATCAACATGTGTATACTTGGCTTCAAACCCCTTTATATGTCAATCGCATAGACCCCGCACACTTTGGGACACCTCCACATGGAGCTTTCTTAATAGTTTTGGTTGATCAGAACTATATTAGTGGGAAAGAGGGAGTTATTAAAAAATAGGAGGTTATAATGTAGTAGCTGCCCTGTTTTGAGTATTAGTTGATGAGCTTGTTGAATTAAAGTTTGCGTCTTGATTAGCAAGACATCTGCTAACATATACACTCATGCTGCTTAATCAACTGTCCTTTTAATAAGTTAGTCAAGACTAAAAAGTGATACAACACTACCTACTTCAGCAAATTCATTCCTCGTTTTTTATCAGCTCCATTGACTCGATTTGATCCTGCTGAGTTGTTCCCTTTCCACGTTGTCGTCTAGCCGTTTCTACCTCTGTACTCGTATATTCATTGAACGCTGCCTGAAGTGACGTTGGTGTAGATAAATAAGCTGCCATTAAAGTAATGATGTAATAGGCAAAAGATGTGGAGCTGAAGATCTAGATAATTCCGTGCCATCTGCTGCTCATCCTCAGCCGTCATCCTCCTCCTCCTCCTCCCTCGCTGTATCTTTTCCACCGTGTGTTTTGGGACCAGCTATCACCAGAGCCGCTGCCTGTTTTAGACAGAAACTCCACTTACTCACTTAATCCGTGTCTCTGACTTCAGGATTYAAGTTTTACACGCTGCACAGCATGTTAGCAGGTTCATCTGAACATCTTTTGATTATCTTTATTTATAGATGGCGCCAACAGGACTGTGTGTTCTATAAAACAACTCTTATGAGTTTTGTGTTTGGCTTGTAAAGCGTATATTGTAGCTGAGCTGACTAATAATAGTCAGGCTTGCTTTGTGGTTGCACTACTGCTCCAGTTGTGAGCAGGAGAATAATAATCTATAACTGCATTGGACCCCACAGTTTTGTTGACTCCCTTCCAGCAGTGGTGACACACACACACACACACACACAGGGGATCAAAGCTGTAATTACCCTGGCATGGATTAGCAGTGGGGAGTATTTTCCAGTTTACAGTACCTCCCTCCCAGAGAGTCACACTGACAGACACCCCATGCCCTTCCTCTGAACAGAAAAACGGCTAGATTTCCATGTTGTTGCACTCCATGAGACCCGGCAACCAAGAGCCTCACATTTTCCCATCCTTTTAACATAAAACTCTTTATGCAGTCCAAATTAGCTTGTAGATTTCCTCAAGAGTCAGTAAATTTGGGTTGTGTTGCGTGCATTTAGCTGGATATGTGTTTGGCGTGCTGGGAGCACGGCTCTGCTGACTCACAGCACTGCCAGGTACGAGATATGTGTGTGTGTGTGTGTGTGTGTGTGTTGGCTGTCTTCGTGATGTACATGTTTCTCTGTAAGCCAAACATGAGTTCACAGGAAGCAGAGCAGCATGATACAACCCTGCACCAAGGACTTCAGCTCACAGTTTTCATTTCACTGAGTAAAATTGTTTTTGTTGGTTGACAAATTGCACAGTTATAGAGTCACACAGATTGTGATGTTAATCATTTAAAAGGACAGTAAATGAAAATGCTGTCATTCTTTGTTTTTGCATTTCTGTTCTGCTGCTTTTRCGATTTGACCTCTTGTGCAAATAGGGTTACTAAAGTTCCCACAGCCCTCTTAACAGAGGGTCTTTCTCGAACAGGTTAAAAATCTCCATCATTCCTCCTATCGTATAGTTGTGGTTCTCCAGAGTCATGCTTTTCCACAGCTAAATATTTATCAAATAATAATCAGTATTGGATGCCTGAATAATACACAGAAAACCAAATGTGATTCAGTGAAATGTTTATTTTCAGATCTAAAGACTCCAGCTCACTTTGCACCAGTGTGTGTGACCCTTAGACTAAACAAAATGGCTTCAAGCTTCTGCTTACGCGTCCTTCCAAAACCATAATATTTACAGAAAACCTGGTCACACCTCGAGAGGTGGTACCTCTTACTTCAGCGATGATATACTGGAAATGTAAACATTATTCTTACGCTGCTGTAAAGAGTCATATATGAAGTAGAGATATGTTGATCCTCTTCCTGTTTAAAGTAAGTGACTAAAATTGATCAGACAATAAGATAAGGCTGTATCTAAAATTCAGTTAATCAGTCACAAAATGTCCTTCTAGTCTGTTATTAAATATTACAGAATCATTGGCTTTTATTTCTTGTTTTATGTCAATTATAGCAGGAAATGTTATAAAATTTACATAATAAAATCTTTCAAGTTGGACTTGTTTAGAATTAAGAACTGCAAGAAAATGTTAWTATTTTACTGGTGGTCTGCCTCTCTATAGTTTTAAACATGCTGTGTTTCTAAATGGGATGTTTTTGGTGTTACTTTGGGATTTATTTTAAATACATGCTAGCATTTAAAGCAGAGTCTTTGTCATTGTTCAGTATGCCTGCCTGATTGTAGCTCAGGCCTTTCATCTGCTTCACTTCATTTCAGTGAGAGCTGCATTTGCATCTCTCCATGATTCATCATTTCTGTGTTAGCAGGTCAAGTGGTTAAACTTCAATCCACCGCTCTGCCCTTTAAACAGGGAATAGATTAATTTCAACAGGTGTTCCAGTCACGTGTTTAATTGCATGACACGTTCTTGTTGATACTGTAAAATATAAGATTGCTAGTGATAACTTTTGCAACACTATCCTATTTATTTTTGTCTTAAATTATTCAACTTTGTGTAGTTTTCTGCTAATTTTAGCAGATATGCAGCATAAATTTTCCTGTACTAAATAATCTTGTGCTGTTTTTGTTTCTCATCATTAAACATGTTTGGCTAATATTTACACCACCACCACCGTAGGGATTCTGAAATAGTTTTTGCTTGATATCGGCACAGAAAAACACGCCCTCATTCAGCTGCTATTGTTTTCCTTCAGTAACTCACACAGACCAAACAAAAGAAGTTCAGCAGCAAATTGATGAGTACTTATGCTTATCAAACCAAAACACCTTTGTGATAACATAATTATTAGCATGCTCAGC